GAAGGGCACACTTATAACTTCTGACTCAAACTGCACAAAAGTAAATTATGTAATGAAAATGTGTGTACCCCCTAGTATTCTGAAATAAAAAAAATTCTTATGGCAATGAGCAAAATTTTATAATTTCACAGAACACTTTCATCTGCACCCCGGTATGTAACTTCTGCTTTCCAAAACCTGCTTAAATGCTAATAGGACTCATACAACATTTGTAATAATAATTTCAGAATGAAAAATAATATTATGGATTAGGCCTATGTCTCCTATAATAACCAATGTTTCCAGAAAAGTAGGATGTGAGAGTGTCTTCTGTACCAATAGATGACTTTCTTTGATAAAAACGGATGCCCCCGTTATTTTGAAAATTGTCAACAAAGTGGATGGGAAAGCATTATTTCTGGGTGTGTCTGTGTGGGCGTTTCTGGTCGGGGCTGGCATTTGAATACGGACTGAGTACGGGAGATCTGCCCTTGCCCATGTGGGCAGGCGCCATCCAGTGGGCTGAGGGCCTGGATAGAACGAAAAGGCAGAAGAAAGAAGAAAGGTGAATCTGCACGGTTTCTCCCCTCTGCAGCGGGGACACCTTTCTTCTCCTGCCCCAGGACATTATAGCTCCAGGTTCTCTGGCCTTTCGACTCAGGGACTTGCACATTTATCTTCCCTTGGTCACTTCCTCCCCCTGCATTACCTTTGCCGCCTCTGATGCCACCATAGCTACGTTGACCGGTTAGTCTGGGCTCCCTCATGTCCCCACTGCAGCCACATCGTTTCCTGATTCCTGCGGCTTCTCCTCCCAATCCTGCCCTTCAGAGCCACCGGCTCTGCTTACTGCGCCTTACTGTCCCTCCACACCCTCATCCGATGTCACCTGATTGCCCAAGGGTCCGACTGCCCTTGCTTTCAAACCAGCCACCTCAACGCGTCGTCCCCACCAGGGCCACCTCCACACACAGGTCTGATCATGTAAATGTCCTGCTCGAGACCCTTCGGCCATTTCCCAAGTCCTGTGAGGTGAAGTGCAAACACCTGCCATTAGCTCCCAAGGCAGGATACACCAGAGCCCAGCGCACACCTGCTCGGCTTCCCTCCTCCTCCGAGGAACTTGCAACTCTCCCCGCAGTTTCACGCCTCTCTCCTCCCGACCTGCTTCTCCTGCTGGAAATGCCATTTCCCGCTTCCTCCGCTTAGCTAACCCCGGGCGAACACCATCCCTAGGACCCTTCCCGAAATCTCACTTTGATTTCAATGCCCTCTTTGTGCTCCTGGGCAGCATCTTGTGCGTACCCTGTGATAAGTCAGCGGTGATCAAACCACACGTATAGTAACCATGTTTTCTTTGTCTCTCGCATGCTTTGGATTTCAGGCAGCTGGAGGACAGCACTGTGTGAACTATGTCCTTAGTGCCTGGAGAGTGAAAATTCACAATATATGCCTTTTTGACCAAAGAAAAATGAATATTTGAAGATTATAATTTGCTTAAAATGCACAGACCTTTAGTTTTCAGATTTTGTGAATATAATAAATACAGAATATCCTAAGGTGAACAAAGTACATCTGGGTCGGTCAGGCTGTGCTACGTGGGGTCTTTTTTCCTTTTTCCTTTGAGCTTCTTTTCTGTCAACGAGTAATTTTCTAGCCACCAAACTCAGAGGAGGACCCTAAGCATTCATGTGTGACAGTGAACTCGCTGTCACTAGATGCATCCAAGGAGGGGACTGGCTCTCATGCATTGGGGCTGG